GATTATAATTAGTTATAAAATCTCTATAAAATTTTTCAATTTTTAGAAAATAATTTTATTCTTAATTTTAAATTATAAATAAATTGACAAAAAATTTTCAAAATTAAATTCAAACTCAAAAAATGTTTATATTAAATTGTCTAAAATTTGAAGTAATAACAGTTAGAACTTGAGAAATTAATATATATATTGTCATCGGTAAATATTATGATAAACTATAAAATTTATTGGAATGTAAATTAAAAGAAATTAATAATAATTAAAAGTTTGGATTACAAAATCACATAAAAAATGTTACGAATTTGGAACAATGAAATGTGAAATACGTAAAAGAAAACAATTATCTAAATGTTACCGGCAGGTAAAGCAGTTCTCTTTTTCCTTCCACATATTATCTCTATATACAGCAGACAAGTTAATACCGACGCGACGAGACAAGCTTCAACATATCTATTTATAACGCGACTTTTGGTACACCCCATATAGAATTTTACGAAACTTTGTGTTCGAGAATTCACGATAGACAGCGAAGTGGAAACTCAAACCACGCGTTTTTAGATTGCACGAAACATTTTTACCATTTTCTGATAAAATGTTCACCAGAAAATACGAAACATTTCTACATTCAAGCTTGTTTTATAAATTACAACACTGGTTGCAGTTTCTCGACAATTGTTCTGCTTAAAGTAGTGAAAGTTTCTGGGTTTTTGAAAAACTTCGTCAAGGAATCTTAAATATCCGCTAGTGCGAAATTAGTTTCGTAAAATCTGCTGAACTTATTTTTTCCGTGTAAGGGCGCCGTCAAAACTTATGTCAAAATTGACCTATTTTTTGACCTATAGGTCAAAAAAAGAGGATAAATAACGGCCTCATATTACGTCAAAATCTATGTCTAATTTGACATATTTTTTTACCTGTAGGTCAAAAAGAGGATATATAAATAAAGGCCTCACATTACGTTAATATAGGTCAATTTTGAGGGCATTCATACATACATATATACATATACATACATGCATACATACATATATATATATATATATATGTATATATATGTATGTATGTATACTAGGAGGGCTTCGCCCTCCTGCGCGCCAACCCCCTATCTCTATTTTTATATTAATTTTAATTTTTATAAATTTAAAGTAATTTTTTCTTAATATCAATGCATCTTAATAAATTGCATACAATACATGACAAAATACACACAGATTTTGACGTAATGTAACAATCTTTATGGACCTTTTTTATCTATATGTCAAAAATTAGATTAAACTTTGACATATATTTTGACCCATTTTAACCTATAGGTTAAAAAGACGTTAAATTTTAAATAGATTTTGACGTATCATAGATACGTTTATTGTCCTTTATTGTCCCTTTTTAAGTTGTAGTTAAATAAAAGTCAAATTACACATAGATTATGACGTAACTAAATGAGGGAGTAAAAATAAAACGTCAAAATTAGGTCAAAATGATAGGTGTAAGAGCAAACACAATTTTAAAATTACCTTACATTGTTAGGTAAGATGCCAAACTTCACCTCATCATTAAGTCTGCGCGCGGAAATTGTTTGACAAATTTTGACGTCTATGTCAAAGCTGCCCTCAAACTTGACCTAAATTTTAAGGGTAGCGGGAATTCTTTGTCAAATTTTGATGCGTAGGTCAAAACTGCCCTCAAAATTGACCTAAAATTTGGCGGGTAGTGGAAATTGTTTGTCAATTTTTGATGCGTAGGTATCTTATTCTATTTTTTTAATATAAAAAAGTAGAAAAAAGTTTTTCTTTCTCTAATACTAAACAATTATTCTTTAACCACTTCACTGGCGGGGCGTTCCAAATGGCGTTCCACGCGCCGAGGCCCAGACTGGCAAAAACACCGAAATGGCGTTCCTAATAAAACATTATTTTTAAAGAGTGTACACTACTTTTAACTTATACAAAGCAATATTTCTATAGTTTAGACATCAGGGAACAAGATTATCACAATGAAAATTTCAGTTTTTGGGATTTTCAATGTTTTTTCAAACGTTGAAATAGTCAATTTTTACCACTTTTCACCAAATGGCGTTCCACTTTTTTTCAATTTTTACACAGTAAAACTCATATTTTTTATTTAAAAAATATATTTACATACAAAACATTATAATATAATAATGTAATAAGTAAAAAATAAATATAAATAATTAATAAATAAAATTTAATAATTATTAATAATAACAAAAGTGGAACGCCATTTGTTAAAAAGTGTTAAAAATCGACTATTTCAACGTTCGAAGAAACATTGAAAATCTCAAAAACTGAAATTCTCATTGTGATAATCTTGTTCCCTGATGTCTAAACTATAGAAATATTGCTTTGTAATAGTAAAAAGTAGTGTACACTCTTTAAAAATAAAGTTTTATTAGGAACGCCATTTCGGTGTTTTTGCCAGTCTGGGTCTCGGCGCGTGGAACGCCATTTGGAACGCCCCGCCAGTGAAGTGGTTAAACAGTATAACAGTACTGAATATTGTGCATAATTATTATGCCGCATTTGTATTTTTAAAATTGTGAACGTTACTGTGTAAACGGAATTTTTTTTCTTTTAAATATTTTTTTTTCAAAATTATATTTCTAAAACAATTTCTTTGACATGTTAAAGCTGTTTCTTTAAATATAGCTAATTAATTTTTTTATAAAACAAATTTTATTAGGTGTAAAGTTAATTAATTAAAATTAACATTAAAATAATTTTAAGTTTATGAAGACTTTCTTGTACAGAATTGGTAAAAAAAAAATTTGTATAACTGTTATTGTAAAAAAAGGTTTTATATTTATTGCAAAAATTCTATTTGGATATTTTTACATATTAGAAGAAAAGTGAAATTTAAAAATTTGTTTTCTAGTTTTTTAGATAAAGAATAAATAGTATATTAAGCAACAAGCTACGTCAAGGCAGCCATTTATTTACGGTTGTTTTTTTGACATGAGTGGAGGTCGAGGGCGCCCCGAGACCTCCACTCGTGTCACAAAAATCACCGTAAATAAATTGGCAGCCTTTAAGTCCCGTGTTACTTACGATATTTTTTATTCCAAAGGCACAAAAATGTCGATTTCAGATAGCAGACGACAGGGAGTAAAAGTCATTCATTTGTTCGACTTGTATGAAAATGGCGGCCTTTTTTCCCACACGGAGAAAAAGGAATAGTTGACACATCCAGATACATGGATATCACAGCCATATTATATTGAAAAATACGGGATATCCATAGTTAAGGTTGCTGCATCCATATTCTATGGCTGGCTGTATATTGTTGGAGCAGCAAAAGATCTATGGTTGGGTGATCCATAGTAATGGAAATGGGAAACAAAAAATTGGAATCACTCAATTAATTAAATTCAATGTCACTTGAGATATTTTATACACATTTTTGTTAATTAATACACGCCACTTATTGAATAACCGCATATTTACGAAATAAATTATTAACCGATGGGGGAGACACGAACCCTAGACCTAACGCATACTAAACACTAACGCTATCCACTACACTATACACGCAACTACAATATTTGAGCATATAATATTCCTTATATACTATACACATATTTCATGAAAATGAATTTACATAAACACTAATAGACAATAACGATAATAAATATAATAAACAATTATAACACTATTTATACACAATAAACTCACAACGCGATTATATAGACGTGACAGGAAACCGACGCGACGGACAAATTGAGACGACCATTTTTAAATGGATGCCATGATAATGAATTGCGCGCAACATGTATCGAAATTTTGAACTAACTATGGATCTCCCAACCAAAGTTTATATGGATGAGGCAGCCATATGTGAAAATCCATAGCATGAATTGTAAGCCCAACAATGCCTATGGATGTCACATCCATATTTGATTCAACAATATAATATGGCTCCCTCATCCATTGAATATGGAATGTGCTTCCATTCTGAAAGTTGTCTCTTCCATTGAATTGGATAACACAACAATATTCTGCTCAACAATATTTTTATGGATATCTCTTCCAGACCTTTTCTTTCCGTGCATAAGCAAAAATAACGCATGGGAGTAGCTGTTTTTTTTTACCATGGGAAAAAAGGTCGCCATTTTAATTCAAGTGGACAAATGAATGGCTTTTAGTTTCTGTCGGCTGCTATCTAAAAGCGCCTATTTTGTGCCTGAGGTATGAAAATGGTTTTTTAAAATCGGTTCTGTAGATTTCAAGAAAAGTGTTTCCTCAGTTTTAATAATGTGTTTTCGGGAAAAACGTTTAAAATGTTTTTGTAGCATACAACAGTGATTTACAAGTAGTAAATAAGTTAAGTAACATATAACAGACACGGTTATAAATATTTCTATAACTTTTTTCTTTCGTATATTTCTTAAAGAAGGTTTTGGTACAAATTTTTGCAAAGTGATAGAGAAATTCCTATTGATCTTCACGTTCACAACTGTTGGTGAGTTATTATGATTAGGTATCTAAGATTATAAGAGTATAGTTTAAATATTCACTCGACTCTCAAAATGTGAAAGAATATAAAGTTGTTTGAGAATTCAAATTAGTAAAATTTTTCACTAATTTATAGTAAAAATTCACTATTCTATTTGGTGAATCTGTTTTTTCTAAAGTTTTAGTAAAAATGACTCAAAATTATTAGATAATCTTAAGTTTAATTATTGGATGATTTTTCCATATTTCAGATTATAATTTCATTCTTTTAGAACATGTAGCCATTAATAAAATATTTTTCAATTAATTGTAAATAATTATTAGAATTAATTGTTGAATCTTATTTATAAAAAAATTAGTCTTTAATTTCGAGACCCAGAGAATATTTCTTGATAGTAAGCACAATTTAATTTCCACTTTTGAAAAATTTTTACTTGGTATCGTTGAATGAGGCTAAACTATTTTTAAAAGATTGGTTTAGAACAGTTATTGCACATTCCACACTTGCTTTGAAAGAAATTATAAAGAACTTACAATGAAGGTTCGAAATTCCATGGTTGTAGACGTTGAGACAGAAACAACAATGTAAAAAATTCGTATGGAAAAACTTGACGTGAAATTTTGTGAATAAAAAAACTTTGATTAATAATGAGGTTTTCTCGTGACCTCGACGACGGTCATAGTAAAACTGAAGTCCTCGAACCTCAGAGACGCATACCTTCCATGCGGCACCTACCTTCACCCGCTTCACGGTTATGTTTTCCATGGTTCAATGTTCCACATATTCCTTTGCCCCCTTTCCCCTCACACTAAGGGAATCAGATGGAAACATCTTTTATGGGCGCGTGACCTTGACCAACTCAAAGAATCTCCCTGCATTCCTGGTGCTTGCCATATGAACGCACCAGGCATTTACGTCACTGACGCGAGAATGGCCTGTTACATATACGTTGATCTGATATTGTACTTGCAATGAGGGCCACTTACTTCTTTGATTCCCGTTACCTTTGAGGTATAGACTTAGTGTCCTGGCTGTGTAGTGAATCTAGGAAAGATAAAAGATAAACCGGTTCAATGCACTTAATCCATGTATTTGTATTATAGGCAATCAATGATCTATTTCGAGTTACTGCGAGTATGATTACAAATCTTGACATCTCAGATCTCTTATTCTTCTTCTATTTTAATTTATTATATATTATATTTTTTATATATTTTATTATATTTATATTTTGAATAACTATTCGATTTAAATTTGCAAAATTATTTATCAATTTTAAGTATATTTATTTTGTACCTTATTTTTTTTTATTCTTCTATGATCCATCATTTTTTATGGTAATGATCATATAAATGTATATAATTTTATATATTTTTCTTTTAAGAAAGAAGAATATGTATTTTTAGCAGCTTTTTTACTAGTCTAAGATCTCATCACTCAATGTCTACACTCATAAGCTTTATGGAAGAAATTTACTTTTAATAAAATAAGTTTTCATTCTGTTTTCAAAATTCATGGAGTGCCTTATATCTATTATGGTTCATTTCAAGGTACTACTACACTTTAAAAGGCTCTTAAAAGACCAAATTTTAAAAAAAAATTTTTTTAGGTCTTTTATTATAAATATGAAAAAAACTTTTTTGCTTATATTACGTCGGGTTAGCGCAATATCATACTTATTCGATAAACAAGGCAAGAACATACTTATTCAGAAAAGAGGCAAGAACATGCTTATTCAAAATATAAAGTAAAAACAAACGAATTCGCAAATTAACCTTTTTAGTCAGACTTTAAATTATCAAGAATATTATAATTTTATTTCAATAATACTTTTCATATTAGAAAAACAAAATATTAAAAAAATTATTCTCAATGGAACTAAATAAAAGTTATTATTCGTAAAACAATTGTACAAAAGTAAAATTTAAAATCTGACTAAAAAGGTTAATTTGCGAATTCGTTTGTTTTTACTTTATATTTTGAATAAGCATGTTCTTGCCTTTTTTCTGAATAAGTATGTTCTTGCTTTGTTTGTCGAATAAGTCTGATATTGCGCTAACCCGACGATTAGTACATATTTGGTGAATAAAAATAATGGTTTGTTTTTAATTTTTATGTTATATCATAATCTGCAGACAACATCCAGATCGAAACTCCAAAAAGTTAATTGTCCAATTGCGGACAGTTTTCTCAAGATTGACAAATCGGAAACAAAAAATCCAAACTGCTTTTTAAAAAGGAAGGTGTCTTGCATAGAAATCCACCACCTATAATAAAAAATCGACTAAAATAATAAAATAGCAGATGTTTCAATAATTTGTTTACAAATACACTATGTTTTTCAGTATTTTTCTAATCTGCAAAAATGTTTATTTTTAGTTTTTTGACTATTTTCTGGTGAATTCACACACAGGACATGCTAACAAACAAAACGACTTATTATTTATTAAAATCGGTTCAGGAGATTCAGAGATAAAGTGTCCGCAATTTGAAAAAACGTTATTTTGAGAAAAACGCGTTTAAACCTTATATGTATCGTTAGAGGCCATCCATAAATTACCTAAAATTCTTTTGCAAATTGAAACCCCTCCACTATTTTATGTCAGACACTGTTACATATACATTAGCACCAATGTTTCTACTGGTCGTAACAAAAAGCTGCATGTTAATTTGAAAATTTTTGACAAAATTTGTCTAATTTCTCCGTTCGCATATTTTAAAACTAATGTTGAATTTGTAATTAGTGACATCAAAAGCCTCTCAGTATTTATTTTCATAAGCTTATCATGAATTTTTGAAATTGATTCCGCCATATTGGATTCACCATTTCGTCGGTTGGGTGCAGAAAGGTGCCGATTCAGACTAGTCGTGAAAAATGTGCCGTTTCAAAAAACACGTGAGAAACCTGCCATTTAGCTGAGTTCAGAATGAGAGAGGGTGCGCACCGATGTTCATATCTATAGATATACTAAAGCATGCTGTAGTATACCTATAGCTATGAACATCGGTGCACAGACTCTCTCATTCTGGACTCAGCTTTAGAGATGAGATTTGGAAAACATGCCAACTCCGAATTGACGTTCATTTTTTTTGTTTGAAGTGCAAGAAAGAAGTTGCCCATCAAATAATAAATAATCAACAAATTAATTCACGGAGAAAAAGGAATAGTTGACACATCCAGATACATGGATATCACAGCCATATTATATTGAAAAATACGGGATATCCATAGTTAAGGTTGCTGCATCCATATTCTATGGCTGGCTGTATATTGTTGGAGCAGCAAAAGATCTATGGTTGGGTGATCCATTGTAATGGAAATGGGAAACAAAAAATTGGAATCACTCAATTAATTAAATTTCATGTCACTTGAGATATTTTATACACATTTTTGTTAATTAATACACACCACTTATTGAATAACCACATATTAACGAAATAAATTATTAACCAATGGGGGGAGACACGAACCCTAGACCTAACGCATACTAAACACTAACGCTATCCACTACACTATACACGCAACTACAATATTTGAGCATATAATATTCCTTATATACTATACACATATTTCTTGAAAATGAATTTACATAAACACTAATAGACAATAACGATAATAAATATAATAAACAATTATAACACTATTTATACACAATAAACTCACAACGCGATTATATAGACGTGACAGGAAACCGACGCGTTGGACAAATTGAGACGACCATTTTTAAATGGATGCCATGATAATGAATTGCGCGCAACATGTATCGAAATTTTGAACTAACTATGGATCTCCCAACCAAAGTTTACATGGATGAGGCAGCCATATGTGAAAATCCATAGCATGAATTGTAAGCCCAACCATGCCTATGGATGTCACATCCATATTTGATTCAACAATATAATATGGCTCCCTCATCCATTGAATATGGAATGTGCTTCTATTTTGAAAGTTGTCTCTTCCATTGAATTGGATAACACAACAATATTCTGCTCAACAATATTTTTATGGATATCTCTTCCAGACCTTTTCTTTCCGTGTTCAATAAATTAGTCAAAACTATTTCTTTTTCAAAAGAAAATAACAATTATGCAAAATTCAACTAGAAAAATCATTTTTATCCCACATGCACAAAAATGGCGCTTTCTGATTGCAGACGACAGGGAGAAAAGTCATTTATTTCTTCGACCGTATGAAAATGGCGGCCGTCTTCTCCCAAGGGCAAGAAAATTAGCTGTTCACCATGAAGTAGTATAAGGAGACCGAACGACCGTGCAAATTTTGTATTGAAAGTGGGGCAGATTTCGCTACCTGAATAGTGGGTAAAAATACCGAAAGGAACACCAGCGCTGCATGTGGTTAAATTTTTGACTATGAGATGCACAAAACATAACCTATATTATTTGTATATGTTTCACTAATTCGTGTGTGTCATATATGTTGTCATGTGTTCCTCATATTTTTTAAATGTTATCAAAGTAAAATAATTATAGTGTTATTTTCAGTGTTATAATTCTATCAATTGTGAATGAACTGTGTTTTCCATTTTTCCCATGCGCAGCGCTAGTGTTCCTTTCGGTATTTTTCACCTACTAAGCGGGTACCGAAATCTGGCCCATTTATAATGTATTTCGTTCGGTCTCCTTATACTACTTCATGCTGTTCACATGCATTTTTCTTGCCCATGGGAGAAAACGGCCGTCATTTTCATACAAGTCGACCCACACAGCACATGATATTTCCTAAATATTTGCTGAATATTTCACTGAAAGATTGAAATATTTCAGTGCAAGGTCCTTGAAATATTTCTGCAAACAGGAAAATGTCCGCCTATGTGGAAACATTGACGCAAAAGTTGAGAATATATTTCATTGAAATATTTTGGAAATATTCAACTGAAATAATGCGCACTGGTCGAACTCAGTTTCTATGGCCTGTAGAGCTGCGCAGTAGTTTTTGGCTTACTATATCCTATGGGTTTTAAAATATTTCAGAAAATTCCTATTGGTTTCAGGTGTTTAACAAATTTCTTAATTTTGTGAAATATTTTCCCAATATTGCAGAATCTTTATGTGTAATATTGCAGGAATATTTCAATGAAATAATTTCTCAACTTTTGCGTCAATATTTCCACAGAAGCGGACATTTTCCTGTTTGCAGAAATATTTCAAGAACCTTGCACTGAAATATTTCAATCTTTCAGTGAAATATTCAGGAAATATTTAGGAAATATCATGTGCTGTGTGGGGAACAAGTGAATGACTTTTACTCCCTGTCGTGGAGGTCGAGGACGCCGTAGGCGCCCCGTTGCATACTATACTATTTTGTATAACTTTATAACTTTTTCTTCGAATTTTTCTGTACTGACAAGTGTCAACATAAAATAAAAAAAATGAACGTCAATTTTAAGTTGGCATGTTTTTCAAATCTCAGTTCAAATGGCAGGGTTTTCACGTGTTTTTTGAAACGTCAGGTTTTTCACGGCTAGTCTGAATTGGCACCTAACTGACCAGTAACTGGACAGTTTTCTGCTCAAAATCTAGAATAAAATATAATTTTTCCTGGCTCTTTTTATTTTGTTTATAATTACATATTTATATATATTTTTGTTTTTATTCAAATATTTAAGACTAATGAGCAATTACTCTTCCAATAACACTTAAATCTAAAAATGAAAAATTCGCACGCATGGGG